GCACAAAAATATTACTTATTTGGCACCATACACTTTAGAATTTCATTAAATGCAGTATTTATATTCTTAAATTCTTAAACCATCCATTGTTAATGTTATAAAGATTTATACATTTTTAACGCCTTAATATAATATTATTTCTTTCGTTGACTATACTTTGACAGATACATAACCTGAAAAGCCTTAAATGCCAAATTTTCAAAAGACTGCGTTCCGTACGTGGTGAGACTTTGAGGTGTGGAGCATAGTACAATTTATATTTACAGGACTGTATGCAATTTATTTCTTACTTTGGATTTCCACATATTTTTAACATTTTGCTTCTGTCAAGTCTGACGTAAATAAAAATAACCTTCAAGTAAAAGTAACAAATTTGACATTGTTTGATATATTTTGTTGTCAGGATAATTGAATCGTCTATTTTTTTTTTTAAATGAGTTATTTACACTAATAAAATCGAAATATTACGTAGTATATTAGTGCAAAATTATATCCCAACAAAAACGGCTATTTGCAAGGAAAATAATTCATTAAAGTTTTATGTTAGTTTTAATAACGGCCATCTCAATTGATGTTTTAAGTAAAAAAATGTACTTAAAATGCCCATTTCCCTTTTGAAATATATGTTTTTTTAATTAAAACTTAAATCTGGTTACTTATTTTGTAGAAAAAATATTTTTAGTTACCATATGAACAAGTTTTTCAAAATATATTTATTTTTTACCCATAACTGTTTAGAATGTTTTTTTGACGTTTACTTAAAATATTCTTCAAAGGAGATGACCGCTTTTGAAATTAGACGATTCAATTAAGAATAAAACTACCACTTTATTAGTGGGCAATGTTGCCATTTACAAAAATATGTATCTTTTAATATATCGAAGGTAGATTTTTAAAAACAAAATTTTTGATACTTAATTGCGAAATTATTTTTCTTAAATGTCATTTCGCAATCCTTCATGAAAAATAACTGTTTTGGTTTGATATACCGATACGTAGTATTTAAAGGAATGTACGATTTTGATAATGGCAATCAGTGGCGTATGGGTAAAAGTGAAAGAGGACAAATTAGCCAAACAAACAATGCAACGCGGCTTTCACTGCGACTCAGTCCTTCGAGCAGGTCTGTTATTTTAAGAGAAACTCGAGCAAAATGGTAACAATGTTGGTTCTGTGTGTTGACGTGATATATTTTTTAATTAGTGTCCTCAAATTTTTTGCAGCACGTCACGCCTAAATTACAAAACAATTAATTCGCCACAGGCAATTTTCACTATGTGTTACCAAAAGAGAGTGACTTAAGCAACAAAAATTACCGTAACAAACGCTTAATTTCTTTGTAAGGGACTTTTTTGACACAAAAAGTGTTAAATTATAAATTTAATTAAGGTATTCTACGTTTTTGTCAACAAAATTTTGAAAAAAATTGATTAAAGGTTTCTAAACGTATTTATTACTTTTTCAATACATTTAATTGAATTAAAACTATTAAAAGTAAAAGTAGGCATAAAGTTTAAACAATACAAGCCTAGAATTCCATCGAGTTAATTTAAATTTTTACTGTGTAATATACAGGGTGATTTACCTAACTGATTCATTAAAGGTTTATAGACAACCAATAGACATCAATCTAAAACTTTGATTACAGCTATTATAGCTGTAATAGCTATAGCTATTATAGCGAGATATGCCTTATTTTTCTAAAAATTTTAAATGCCCTTTTATTTTCGGTTCAACCGGTATGACAGTAACTTTTTTTTCTAAGGGAATCCCATAAATATTGTTGCATTTTTTATTTCTACTTAAAATTGTATTGTATTTTAAATCCTTTCATATCTTTATTTTTTTTGAAATATTTAATTTTTTTCAAAAAAATTTGACAGATGGAGTCACTAACTACCAACAATTGTAATGTTAAAAAGTTCATACTTAATTTAATTTGTGCGTATTGACATGTGTGTTTTTATTCACATTTTTGGTAATATTTATGTAAATATTTATTTTAACTATACTTGAAACTTTGAAATATCTCAGTTAGTAGCATTTTACGAAAAAATGTTTAAAATAAAAATAAAATGATTCAAGGGGGAAAATCAATCAGTACTAAAATTGCTCCTCATACTCTCCTCCTTATATGGGGAACAGGGGGTAACTTTAAAATTTCCAATGGAACACCCTATTTTTTATTGCAGATTCGGATCATTCGACTAAAAATAGGTAGATTTTGTCTAAAACATTTTTTCATATTTGTAATAGATAGCGCTGTAATGAAAAAAATCAATTTTGTTCGATTTTTCTTCTGTATACGATTCTGCCATAATTTGTCTATAAAAATATCACTTTTTTGGTAATAATTATCTTATTAAATTAAATCTGATTTTTTTAAGTACCCACGATATTTTAACTAATATTTAAGTTTTCTTTGGTTTAAGTTTTATACATTATTTCATTCGGTGATAATTATCAATTGCGCACCATGGACACTTTTTACCTACCAGCATTAAATCCTTTAATTTAAAGGATTATTGTACTATTTTTAATAAAAATACCTCATTAAGGTAAACAAATATTATTTTGTCAATTAATTAATTTAATCCTAATTGAGGTATAAAAAATGGTATTTAGTTATAAATAATAATTATTATTGAGGGATAAAGAAACTATTTATAGTTTAGCATTATTTAATCAATTTAGTTCGAAGATTAATTTACAAACAAAAAGACCTCCTTTCGTTAAGCAGTTATTCATAATGGATTTTTTAACAGTGGAAGAAAAAATAGAAATGATTTTGATTTATAGAGAAGCAGGCAGGAATCTTGATAAAAGAGTTCGTCGAGCAACAGTCACAGGTGGGAATAGCAGCAACGGCCGCTAATCCTCATGCAAGCACACGAGAATTATCTAGATATTTGGGAATATCCCAGAGCGGTGTTAGCAGAATATATTAATGTATAAATGTTAAAAGTTTACAAATGCATTTTTTCTGACGATTTAATTTAAATTTGTATTGTGTAATATACAGGGGTGATTCACCTAACTGATGTCAATCTAACATTTTGGTTACAGCTATTGTAGCTATAATAGCTATAGCTATAATATCGAGACATGATTTATTTTTCTAAAATGTTTTCAAAGCCCTTTTACTTTCGGTTTAACCGAAATTGTCAGTAACTTTATTTTTTTTCTAAAGGAATCCCATAAATATTATAGCATTTTTGATTCTACTTAAAATTGTATTGTAATTTGACAGATGAAGTCACTTACTAAAATTTCTGTATTACCCACAATTGTATTGTTGAAAATTTTATACTTAATTTAATTTATGTGTATTGTAACAAGACTAAATTATAAAAAAAAATAGAAATGGTATAAAATCTGTAATACTTGAATTTTTTTAATAAAATTTGAAATTTGTCGATAAACTTCAGTGAATTAAATATTGTACCACTTTAATTTGAATTATCTTAATTTGAGGGGGCAGGAGACTGGGGAAGTACACTTAAAAACTAACTTTTTTTCGCAAACTTCAATTTGAATTCTGCTTGCGCAGAACTTGTCTATATAATGTTATTATAAACTCATATAAATTTGATGTGGGTCCCATGTCTAATAACTGAGATATGGGTGTGCCCAAAATCCACCAGCCGCCACTGGTAATATCTCTGTAAATATTTATTTAAGCTATATGTTGGGTATGCTATAACAAATTAAAAGAGAATAACATTTAGCGTAGAAAGGTGGATATTTTTTAGTATTGTTTCATTTGAAATATTAAAGGTATTGACATTTAAAGTGGCAAGAAAATACCAAACACCCTGTCAAACATTTTGGAATATTAATATATAACTGGATAAAAAACAAACACTGTTTTTGAGTTTCACGAATTTATTTAAATTTTATTTGACAATTGTTTTGCTAACACAGTAGCTTCTTCAGTAAAGGTCGAAACAATAAAATATTTGGAATACTATTAATGGCTACTAATAGGATACTAAACATTTTAATAAATAAAATAATTCAAAAACATATGAAGATACTAAATCGTTTCAAAATTTAATAGCTTCAGAATTTTACGTAGGTACAATTCAAAAGTGCAATAATATTTATAGGTTTGAAGAAAACAACCAATATTTTAGATTGATGTCTCTTTTATTTCTCTATAAACCTCTAATAAATTAGTTACATTTTATTTATATTTCCATCCCAGAACTTCCTAATTATCTCAATCAATTTCATGTTTGCATCTACTAATGAAATAATTTTTTGCTTTAACCAAACTACAAAGTCAAATGACATGATTTTATAACTAAATGAATCTTGTAATATTTTGTCGAAACAATGTTAATTCCTAATGCCCTAGTTATTCAACAATAAAAATATAAGTCAGGCTCATTATTCTCATTATTGCACGGTGCAATATCCAAATAAAATTGCAACCGCACATCTTCAAAATAACGTGAATCTCGTAATAATCGACATTATATTTGACATACTTTTGGGTACGAAGACAATGGAATACGACCGTACTCACTATTTACTTATATTTCCGGAAAAGTGTCAAATAAGTAATCCAGGCCAACCGAAAAGACAATTGAAGTTACATATTTATTATTTAAAAGTGCTAGGCAAAAATATTATTGTGTTGTTAAAACAATTGTCATGGTTTTGGAATATTTTGCATAATTAATTTGTTTATTCGCTGTAGTAGGTATAAGATAACTTACGTATGGGTTAATGTTTTATTTATTACAATTTTTACAATTTGTTGGACCACCCTGTAAAGTTTTGGCAAAATACTGCACATACAAAATGATACTTAGAAAGAGCATAAAATTTAATTGAAAAATCTTCAGGGTGGCCATTTTCTAGAAAACAAGAAAAACTGTACAAATCTCTCTAGTAGTATTAAACACAACGTACTATTTAATAATTCAAACAATGAAATTGACTGCAGAAAAAAGTGGATAGGTTCTATTAGCAATATTGTTGTTACTACTTACATCCGAGTTCGTCAAAAAATCTCATTCTGGGTGGAGGATAGTATAGTTTTTTATCGTAATCCGATTGGTCGGTATCTGAAATTTTAAAAAGAATATATTAAAACATATTTTGGGAAACGTTTTATAATGAAATAATTGGCTGTAGGTTCAATTTTGTTTATGAATATTACCAGTAATGGGTCAAAAAAGTTTCTTAAAGAAACTAAGAAAATTGAATGTTTACCTTAATGTTTAATTCTAGATTACTTTAGGCCATACTAGTATCTGCGATACAATTTGCCGTGTGCAGTCATGGTTGCATAGTGTGTACCGATTGCGTATAAGCTCGGGGAGTCTTTTGTTTTAGGTGTGTTCCACCACACCAAGTTGCCCGATACTGATGAGACCCAATATAGGTCGAAACAGCTGTCTGTCGGTATTTGAAGTTGGTGGAACGCACTCAAAACAAAAATCTTTGGCGATTTTTTTCTTATTATGTATCATATTTTGTTCATTATGTAACGTGAAAAATTGTTCGGCAAGTTGATTGTTTGGTTAATGATTAGAACTGATCTTTGTGCAAAATTTTGAAAAAAATGGCAAATTCGCCAGGACCACAAATATTTTTAAATAACACTGGCCAAGAAAATTAAATTGTTTGTTTAGCCAATATATTTTCTAGGGTAATTTGCTTGCATTATATACAGGGTGATCCAAGTATACTTATATGTATATAATAAACCACCGGTTTGCAGACTAAAAAAATCTCCAAAGGCAATAAACTATATTGGCCCCAAATACTACAACAAAGTACCTGAAACAATTAAATCGTTGGATATCACTTCTTTTAAAAATAAAATTAAAAGCTTACCAATAAGTAAGGCATTTTATTCATATGATGAGTTTGTGAATGGAAATCTTTTATAATATAGTTTATAATGTGCATGTATAAATTCATGTGTATTCTTTCTAACTTTTGTAAATACTGTATATATAGTAACAACTTTAAAAAATTATAATTATTATTATTATTATTACTTTCATTGGTATTTTTTATTGGAAGAGCTACAAGGTCGGTTAAATTAGAGAAGAGTTGAGCCTATTAAAATGAGGTATTTTATTTTTACCCCTTTTTTTAAATCTATAAACAACAATAATTAGGGTTGAAGATCTAATATTTCCTCCAAAAAAATCATGCTTGCCACTTTTTCACATTTATTTTAGTATTAAATTTTAGTGTGCGTCGTAGAAAAACTATGGTATAGAATTAATTTTATAAACTTCTCCAGACACTTATTTATAAAACACTCGCCACACAAGCTCGTGTGCAATTAAAAATCGTAACTTAAAGCTGTTTATTTTTTTATTAATATAATTTTTTTAGTAAAATCTTACCAAAAATATTAGTTTGTAAAATAAATATAAATAAGTAATTAACATTTCTTTAGAATGGTTAAAATACAAACAGTTTCAATTTATTTTTTCAAAGGAAGCAAAAAATTAAAGGAATCTAAAAAGAAATTTGTCACTCAATTGTTATTTTTACCATGAAAGTAAAAGTTTCAAACGGATACAATCGGCATTTATCTGAAGTAACTCTCTAGAACGAACAAACAGGACGTTTATTAGTTTAAATAATAAAACATTATTGCCAAAAATTAAAAGTTATCTTTTGTGATTCGAATAATTAAATACATGATTATGTAAAAAGTATACCTAATCCTATGATTTATAATAATACTAAGAAGTAGAATAATTAAATATATATATTTACATTTTTTTAGATTGTATTTTGATTTGCTTTAGGTTATAAAAAATCATAATATATTTTCTTCCCACATACAGAAATTAAATTACATGTTATTTTCTGGGTGAAGGTCACTAAGAAGAAATTTCAGGTCTCTGAACTCTCATAAACATTTACTTTCTTTGGTTTATTCAGTATGTATCTCCCTTAAAATCAATTGTTTTATTTATCGTTGCGTTAAAAACAAAAAAAGTAATACATTACATTATAATTACATTGTTTTTGTTTAATATTAAAAAATATTGTTTTTTTCAATTTATATTTTTAAATGGTAAAAAAGTTTACTATAATAGTATATTATGTATCAAGTTTTATAAACTCCATTTTAGTTTTATTATGCACGAGCGAAGCTTACGAGGGAGTGTTTAATAAAAACGAGTGTCTAGAGATTTAAACTAACTTTTCCCTAATTTATAATAAAGCTAACTTCAGCGTAACTAAAACGCCATAAAGTCACAGCTCCTTAATGTAGGAGTAGATAATAGTATATTATGTATCAAGTTTGATACATACAAACGCCATTTTATACACGATGTTAATTTAGGCACGAGCGAGCCTGCGAGCGAGTTCTTAAATTAATGAGTGGATAGAAAATTTATAACCGAGGTGCATACTATACTTTTTCTACGACAAATACTTATTATTATCTTAAAATGATTTAAATCAAAAATTTGTATAGAGCGCCATCTATGAAACAACAGGGGAAACTGTGTGTCACCGTCAAATGTCAAATTTTTTCATTTTATAAACAGATTCTAAAGGTTATAAATCAAAATGTATTTCTTGAAAATTGACAGTTTTTTACAGTGAAAGTAAAGAAAATGCTTTATGAGCACTTTACAGTGGAGTCCGTGTCCGAATTTAAGTTGTAGTTTACTGCCGGCGAAATTAAAAGGTCAGTACTTACAATGTTCATATAAACTTTTCAAATTTGGCGTTGAGAAACTATTTAACCCTTTTGTATTTTTGTATTGAGATAATAAAATAATTTTCACATTTAGTATTATTTTACAAGAAAGGCACTATATTTTAACGATTGTATGACATTTGACACCTGTCAACTAACTTAAAACTAACTTCAGCCCGTGACTAAAAACCTGTTGCTAACTTCAGCCCGTGACTAAAGCGCCATAAAGCCACAACTTGTCAATGTGTATTTAAAAGGTCACTTAGTGTCATGGAAACATGTACGATAAAGGGCGTTTTAAAGGTGGGGGTAGAAAAAATTATTTACGTTAAATTTACCTTTGAAAATACCTTAAAATAAAACCATTAATGAGTAATTTTCTTTAGTCAAAATTACGTTAAATAAAAATAATTACAATGCTTTAAAATTCTAAAACTTAATAGTTATTAACAAAAGTAAAAAATTCATAAATAAAAACTTTTTATATTACTTTTCGAGATTTTTAACAGTTTTAAGGTAATTTATGGACAATTATATAGAAAATCATATTTTTTAATATTTTGAATAATTTTTGCATAATTTTTAACGATTTTTATTTGTTTAAAAAATAAATCGCTTAAATTATAATATACGATGTATTAAGTTTGATAAAGTCCATAAAAGTTTACAAATACTTATTATTATCTAAAAATGATTTAAATTAAATATTTGTATACAGCGACATCTAAGAAGATTTGACAACTGTCAACTAACTAAAAGCTAACTTCAGCCCGTGACTAAAGCGCCATAAAGCTTGTCAATATGTTTTTAAAAAGAATTCTTAGTGTCCTGGAAACATGTAAGATATTGGGCGTTTTAATGGTGGTAAATATGGTTATAAATCATTTTTAATGCCCTAAACTATAATATAATTATGTTTCCCAAGTTTTACTAAATTATTGATTTATACTATACCTATATATTTGATAAATTTTGTCCCTATAACTTTACTTATAACTTTATAAAAATTAATTTTTTTGTTGTGTATTAGTTCTAATTATTATTTCTTAAAAAAGTTTTTATCCTTAGATTTAAAATTTTGTAATTTATATTGTTAATTTAAAACTTCATTTTGACAAATTGTTCATAATTTTGTAAGGGTACCTTTAATTTCATTTTCCGAACACTTAATATCCATGATAAATAAGATACACATCACAAATTCCTTATAACAATAAAATCTCATTTTCTCTGATAACTGGAGCGTTGCTGAACGTTTTCACTTGTCTCTCCTGTCCTTCGCGTCAATCCTTCAAACAAAACCGTTAATTCGACACTCAAACGCGACACCATAAGCCCGAGTCGAAGGAAAAGATTCGAAAAGTCAAAACAAGCTTAAATCCAGATATGCCGAGTCTGGACGGTATGCAAATCGATTCTAACAACGGTGGAGCATTCAGGCGTCTCATGTGACAAGCATGAGTTAAACTGAAAGTAAAAACAAGTGTCGAGATCAACGCGGAGAAATTTTAAAACATAATTTTTAGACCATTGGCTATCTTAATCTCGATGCACAGTGACACCAAAATAAACAAAAGTCCATTAGAGTTGTAACGTATTTATTTTGATGTAATTTATAAATGCAATAAATATTTCATTAAATAAATATTATAATCATGTTTTAAATTATACAAGGTTTCCTGAAAATTGCAAACTGGCTTGATATTTCAAAAGTTAATATCCCACTGAAAATAAAATACTTGATGCCTAGTTTAATTAACTATTTTTACTTGATTCCTTACTTATTTTAGTCTAAACGAGCATAGTAAAAAATATAACTTAATTTTTGTGTCGCAAACGTCATTACCGTGCCTTGTTCACATTCGAAGAACAACAACATATTATTTTCTTAGATTCATTTACAAATTAAATCTTGCAATATCCTGTCTAACACAGACGAAGAAAATACAAAATAATACAATGAAAGCAAGACATTGTATTTTAAAATGTTACATTTTCTTTTAATGCCGTTTAAACTTTGTTCACACCCATGAGCGTCATTGCCGTGGCTACTTAAAATGTTTCATATTTAAATACGCGATACATTCGGAAAAGTTTTCGAACGTCTGATATGGAAATATCCTGCCTGTCTAACGTTCACAAGCATATGTCAAACCATAAAGATGTCACGTTCACCGAATGAAAACGAAAACGGCTTGTTACGTCTAAGTCCGTCATTGTCGGGGTAAGTATTATTTCAAAGTTAATAGACATACAAAATATTTACATTAATACAAAGGAGTCTTGCATTAACAAAAAGCAAATGGTAACTTGAAAATTCCATTACATTTTCGAATAAACATTGCAAAACACTCTAACCTTAAAATCATCATTACCGTGCTCGTCATTGTCGTGTCCCTTACATGTAACCAATTTAAAATATTTCATTTCAGTGGGAAATTAATTAAAATGACAAAACCACGAAACAAGTTGACCAACAAAGCTAAAAGACAATCAGAACGTGAGAGACGCAGAAGAATAAGAGATTACCAAGAAAAACCGTGGGTTCAACTTTCTAAAAAAGACAAAAAAATACGTTTTTAGTCTTCATGTCTATGCTCATAAGTGGAAAAGTCCTAAAAGTGCAAAATTAATAAGATTTGCAATTTTTTTATGTGTTAACGAAAATTATTCCGAAAATACACATTTTTAAAATATTCACCCATATGCCCCTGTAGAATATCTGTAAAAAAATAAAATATAAAAAATCTTTTTTTATAATTTTTTTTTTTTAAATTAAATTTAATTTTATTAATTTAAATTTTTTAAGAATATAAAATATCAAATTTTGACGTTTTAAAAATAAATATTTAAAATTTGCAAATAATAACAAACCTCTAGGTATTTAAAGTTTGGGTTCTTGTTACATAGGCTCGCTAATAAAAAAATTAACTAGGCCCTTGATAAGTATATTTTTTATTCCTATACATATATAATTTCCCATTGTGCGTTTATTTTTCAATCATTTCTCCTCGTAAGAATCTAATTTAAACCTTAAGTTTCACTTTATTAGAGGTTATTTTTAATTTTTTATCAAATCTCCGACCAAATGATATTAAAATAACTTTCTTATCAGATGCGGACAGGTTTTATTTAAATTAGTATCCACCAAGCCAATATACTCGTACCTACACTTTATCCAATTAATGTGTTTCCAAAATGTTTGGTATTACATCCACTGTGCAACAAAAAATTATAGTTAGGGTAAAAACAACTTTTTATTGAATTAAGAAATATGTATAAAAGTAACTACATTTTTTTTCAAATTGTTGTTCATAAATAATAATAAAATGCCAAACAATTATTAGAGTGCAATTTCACTTATATTGTTTAATATATTCCAAACATTAGTCCCACGAAGGGGGACTTTAAGCCTGCGATCCGTTCCTACCTCTAACCCGCACAAGTCATTCAGTTGGCTTTTGGGACTTTTTGGGAAGTCATACTTTTTTGTACAAAGCAAGATATAGAGACATTTTGTAAATAAAGGAATTTAATTTCATTAAAACGATTTTTTCATTCAACATCATATCTATTTAAAAACAAGAAATAACTCTAGACCTAAAAAATACAATTTTAAATTCTACAAAAATTTCTGGGTAAAATTACTATACCATTTTCTATACCTAAAGTAAATAGTTTTCGAGTTCCCTATACCTAAAGTTAATAGTTTGAGAGATATTTAAAAAATACATTAATTGAAATGTATTTTAATTTTCTATTTGATTATTTAAAACCATTTAGGGTGTTTCATTTAAAATAAAAAAGTTATTAACGTTTGAAGTTAGCCTAATTTGCCCTGGGTTTTATTGGGTAATTTGTTAAAAAATGTTAAAGAATTGACATGGAATGTCAATGTTTTAAGATTCCAAAAATTCCACCCCCATTTCGGCAAACCTAATGGCAAAATAGTTATAGGCTATTTTTGATTGACGCGCATTTGTCAACGTTTAACGAAAAAAATTAATAACTCGAAAACTATTCACTTTTGGTATAGGACATGGTCCAGTAATTTTACTCAAAATTTTAAGTAGAATTTAAAAATGTAAAAATATATGGGGTGTTTTATTTAAAATAAAAAAGATGATGTCACTTCCGGTCAAACCGGAAGTGGCATTTTGTTTAGAATATTTTAGAAAAATAGACTTAATTGAAAAATAAACGCTTTAAAAATTTCAAATCGATATCTTTTGCCGTTCCTAACGAACTTTTAATGGACCCCGAACGTAAAACACCCGTATTTTGTAAATGTGCAACACCTTGTATATAATTAAAACAATTTTAAAATAAATAAATAATTTTAATGGTTGTCCATTTATTCAGGGGTATATATAATTATTTTAAGTCAATTTTCAAAATCTATAGAAATTTTTTAAAAAGGAGGGAATCAAATTTTGTCGTACTGTGTAATAAATAAACTAAAAAATTAAAGAGGATAAAAACTTTATTACATTTTCAACAAGATGGGACACCACCTCATTATGTAGTATCTGATAGGACTTGGCTGGATCAGAATTATCCAGAACAATGGATTGGTAGAAGAGGACCAATAGAATGGCCTACCAGATCTCCAGATCTGACACTATTAGACTTTTTCTTATGCTGTCACTTCAAAACTCACCCCGTATATATCATATATAATAAAATAAATATATATATTATTATTACATCATAAGAAGTAGACAAATCATTATCTTAACCTAAGCCAACATAAAATTAAGAAAGTGGTTCTCAACACAATTCCATGTAATTTAAGTTCTTAAAATAAACAAAATATGTATAAAAAATTGGCAGTATAAATAACACAGGTGAAAGTGGTGGTCTGCCTAAAATTTAGTTATAAGTCATCGTTAAATAAATATGCAATTTATTATATTAGAAAATTTAATATTTATTATGTTTAAACTTATTACTGGAAGAATAATTATAGGCTTGTATTTTACAGACAAAATAATTATAGGTAATAATATAATTTACAGCTTGTAAAGCCAACAGCCATACAATTTTAATGTCAATTGTGCACTTGGTAATTTGTAATACTAAAGTGAGATTTACAATTAACCTTAAAACTAGGGTAATTGTAAATCATAAGAAGTTTTAACTAAGACATGTACTATAATTGCTTTGTGTAAAGTTAATTTATAGAGACATTAAGGAGATGCCTGAAAGAATTCTTAGTCCTGACTTTTTTATGAAAACAGAATACTGCCTTAATAGTATATTATGAATCAAGTTAGAAAAGTTTATAAACGAGGTGCATACTATACTTTTTCTACGACAAATACTTATTATTATCTTAAAATGATTTAATTCAAAAAGTTGTATAGAGCGCCATCTATGAAACAATAGGAATCTGTGTGTCACCGTCAAATGTCAAATTTAGTTATTTTATAAACACAGATTATAAAGGTTTATGAGCACTTTACAGTGGAGTCCGTGCCCGAATTTAAGTTATAGTTTACTGCCGGCGAAATCAAAAGGTTAGTACAATGTTCATATAAACTTTTCAAATATTGGCGTTGAGAAACTATTTAATACTTTGGTATTTTTGTATTAAGATAATAAAATAATTTTCACTTTTAGTAATATTTTACAAGAAAGTCACTTTATTTTAAGGATTGTATGACATTTGACAACTGTCAACTAACTTAAACCTAACTTCAGCCCGTGACTAAAATCCTGTTGCTAACTTCAGCCCGTGACTAAAGCGCCATAAAGCCACAACTTGTCAATGTGTATTTAAAAGGTCACTTAGTATCATGAAAACATGTACGATAAAGGGCGCTTTAAAGGTAGGAGTAGAAAAAATATCATAAACATGTTAAAAAGTTAACCTCTCATTCATGAATTCATCAAGAGCTTCTAATCTTGAGGTCTTAAAAATGATTTCTCGAAGATTTCATTTAACATGACTTTTTTATCAATTATATTTTTTAGAGAAATTTTTATGGTCAAAATTATTAATGTTATTTTAATAACAATATTTGGAAAGCACTTTCTCTACAATGTTACACATAAAATAAATTATTAATTTGTATCATGACCAAGACTACCGAATATAGAAATTTTATTGATAAATATAATATTATTTTAACCTCAAACTCTTTAACCTTTTAAATTTTAATATTAAAAAATATTGAATGTGTTTTTAATGAACAAATTCGGTTGTGTAAAAAAGAGTTGTTTAAGACCAATGCAAATGCATTATTTAATAGTAAAACGTAATTGTTTTATTAATATGTTGTCATAAATTCGTATTTTTGGTCTTTTACTATTTCAAAATGCAATTGTCGGCTTTTGCATTTACGATGCATAAAAAACATGTCTTTAAATACGAGAGTGGATCAATAAGTGCTCACATAATAGAACAAGAACTATTAAAGTTAGCAACAGGTTTTTAGTCACGGTCTGAAGTTAGTTTTAAGTTTATGTCATACAATCGTCAATATAA